TCATATGACGTATCGGACTGTGATTGGCCATGCATCCCTACCTCCCTCCGCTGCTAGCTGTAATTGGTTTAAAGTAATATGACGTGTCCACCCAGGGGAGGGAGGGAGGGAGGAAAGACGACGCTTGACCTAGCCGCGGCAGTTTCATCCCTCCAGGCCACACCGTGTAATCGTGCATCCATTGTTCTGTAAAATGGCTTCCGCCGGACCACCACCCCCAGAGAGAAACCTTTCCTTGCCTGGACCCAGTCGCCCTAAGCCCAAGAAGACACGACGTTCCTTAAGCTACTAGGTGAAGTACAAGATCATCCAAGAGTTAGGGAAAGGAACAAGACAGGTTGATTTGGCGCGCCAGCATGGTGTGAACGAATCTACGATCCGGACGATAAAGAAGGATGCAGCCAAGATAAAGGAGCACATGAAGATCACAAAGTCTACAGGTGCTTCTATGATCAAGTATTTTCACAACCAGGTGCTTCTCAAGACAGAAAAATTACTTGTGAGCTACTTGGTGCGTCAGGCGCGACGGAACATGGCGGTCGACACGCGCTCTGTTAAGGAGTACACACGTGAACTGTATGCTGCAGTGTCACGAAAGATGGGAATTACAGAGCCCAAACCCTTTAATGCTTCCTCTGGGTGGTTACAGAGGTTTAAGATGCTGAACAAGATCACCAATATGAACATTGGTGGTGAAGGAGCCAGTGCTGACCATGCTGCAGCTAGGGAATTTCCTCCGTTTTTACGTGAGATTATGGAGGAAGGACAGTAAACCGACGACCAGGTGTTTAACATGGACGAATCTGGTCTCTTCTGGAAAAAGCTACCTTCCAAGACCTTCGTTGTGAAGAATGCCAGTAAATGTCGGGGCCGGCAGATGCAGAAGGAGCGCATCACCGTCCTGTTTACCACCAATGCCTCCGGTACCTGTAAGCTCAAGTTATCGGTGATCCACACAGCCCGCAAGCCGCACGCCTACAAGAACATGGATATGACCAAGCTAAATGTCCACTGGCTGACCGCACCTAAGGCGTGGATGTTCTCTACACTGTCCCTCTCCTGGTTTGATGACTGTTTCGTTCCCGATGTAAAGAAATTCTGTGAGCAACAGAATGTGCCATTCAAGATTTTGTTGCTGCTGGACAACGCACCAGGACACTCGCCCCTACTGTTAGATCGTCACCCCAACATAAAAGTGGTCTTCCTTCCTCCCAATACCACGTCTATATTACAGCCCATGGACCAAGAGTTGATCTGCAATGTAAAAGCTGCATTCTCAACAAAAAAATTCCAGCTCCTGAACGACTACACCAACACCAGGGAAGAGGTGCGTAACCTGAGTGACACCACCACTGATAGCAAGAGCGAAGAAGACGAGGATCAACAGTTGGCAGAGCAAAAAATACTTTTCAAACAATTCTTCAGAATATTTAACATCAAGAAAGCTGTGGACTTCTTGGTGGAGGCATGGGATCAGCTGTCTGTAGCAACTGTTCGTCACGCATGGAGACATGTGTTGCAAGGCATTCCGGACGTAAGGCAGAGTCAATCTGTGACTGGTGAGGTTCAGACTGTTACAGTAGCAGTGGACCTTGCCAGAGAAGCTGCGCAGAGTGTTACAGCTGCAGGCTTCTCAGAGACCACCAACGACGACATCCTGGAGGTGATAAGGGATCCTGATGTGACTACCGACGAGATGGTAGATGATGATGACGTCAGTGAAGAGGCAGGTGGTGCGTCATCCCAAGAAGAACACCGCTTATCCCACAGTAATGTTTGGGGTGCCATCGAGTGTGTCGAGAAAACCAAGCTCCTCCTTTCCGACGACCATGACACAAACAGGTATGAAATCGTCACTACCCAGCTGTTGCAGACTATGGAGCCCTACTTCAAGGTTTATCACGATAACATAAACACCAGCCGTCAGCAAAGCATAACAGAGTTCTTCGTCCGCAACCCACCAAGGCCAACCCAAGCCAGTGATAGTGACAGAGGTGGAGACAGTGAAGATGACTTTGAGGGATTTGTCAGGGAGGCCCTGACAAGTGTGGATGACAGTGATGGTGACTCACCTGAGGGCCAGTAGCCTGCCCTCTGCCTCGGAACCAGCCTCCATCCCCGTACGCCGACCCATCTCTTCTACTAACGTAAGTGTTCAACCTAACTTTTAGTTTTCCTAACCTAACCTTTATTTTTCCTAACTTAACCTTTATTTTTCCTAACCTAACCTCTTCTATATTACTTGTGTGTGCATACCATCATAAAGTTAAGATAAAATTTTACTACAACATAGTTGTGTGTCGTCAAAAAGTGGAGTTTGGGGGTCGGCCCGGTCTCTATTTCAATTAATCCCATATGTTATGTTGTTCACTTTACGCATTTCTCACTTTCCGCGGTACCCTGTGGGTTATATTAACCGCGTAAAGTGAGGGTTGACTGTATACAGTATTACCCCGCTTTACACGGTTTCACTTTCCGCGATTTCTCATTTACGCGGTACCTTGCCAGAACCAGACTTTCACTTTCCGCGGTGCATCTACTCATATACGCGGTGAAGTATATATATATATATTTTTTTTTAGCTCATAAAATTCATACAAATTACCCGGCCAGAATATAATTTACATTGCTGGAATTCTTACAATTTGATGATCATTTTGAATATAAACATCATGGATTTTGCATTAGACATACAAATTTTAGATCTAAAGTAATAATTTGGTTTACACAAAGTAAATATTTTATCTTTTGTGCAAAATATATGAAGTTTACATTCAAAATATTCCCTGACCTGCAAGGAATCCAGAAATGTCAATTATATTATCCTAACTTTAGTCTGAGGTATTATTTATTACTAAACGTTAAAATCTAGAGTTTTCACCCACACATTTATCTGGTAGGGAGGGAAGGTGGGGGGGACGGTTGGGACCGACCGACCCAGCTGGCCTGAGTGTGAGGAGGGGGGGAGGCAAGGTGGGGTACTTTGATTGACAGATAGTGTCGTGAAGAATATTTTTTTTTATTAACTGAAGATATTTGTTTTAGCTCATAAAATTCATACAAATTACTCGACCAGAATATAATTTACATTGCTGGAATTCTTACAATCTGATGATCATTTTGAATATAAACATCATGGATTTTGCATTAGACATACAAATTTTAGATCTAATGTAATAATTTGGTTTACACAAAGCAAATATTTTATCTTTTGTGCAAAATATATGAAGTTTACATTCAAAATATTCCCTGACCTGCAAGGAATCCAGAAATGTCAATTATATTATCCTAACTTTAGTCTGAGGTATTATTTATTACTAAATGTTAAAATCTAGAGTTTTCACCCAAACATTAATCAGAAAGGTAGGAGCTAGTGAGCTGGGAAGAGGTGTGGGGTGGGGATTTGAGTCCATTATTTGAATGGACATTAACCTGGCAACTGTATTTCTCTTAAATATTAATTGTGTGAGCATACCATCTTAAAATTTAGATGTTATTTTTACTACAACATAGATATTGTGTCGGAAAAAGTGGAGTTTGGGGGTCGGGCCAGTCTCTATTGGAATTAATCCCATATGTTCTGTTGTTCACTTTATGCGGTTTTCACTTTCCGCGGTACCCTATGGGTTGAATTGACCGCGTAAATCGGGGTACTACTGTATCTTAATTAGCCAAAATCCCTCTTAACTAGAACTCTCCAATAGTCTGAATTGAAATTTTCTCTGAAAATCATTCCCAAAGCAGGAAAATCTGCCTTTGGGAATGATTTTCCTAGGGGCACATTTTCCGGAAAATTCAGAGAAAATTTTCCCAGTACCCGGGAAATTATGAGTAAATTCCGGGGATGGGGGAGGTTTTTTTCTGGGTTTGAGATGAAAATTTCACGCATTTTCTGGAAATAATGATAAAAAATTTCCGGTACTCTGAAAATTCCAGGGAATGGGTATATTTTTCTGGCTTTGAGTGATGATGTAATGCGCAATTTCTGGAACTTCCGAGAACATTTTTGTTCAATCCAGAATGCGACGTCTAGCTTTATACCGAGGTATGTAGCTAGACGTCATATTCTGGACTATATCACAAAAACTGTTTTTTAGAAGAAAAAAACGACTCTTTACATTATCCGGAAAAATCTGGGGATTAGGGTTTTTCCGGTCTTGAGAAAGTCGTCTCGTAACCCAGAAATCTCTCGTTCCCGGAAGTGCTCTGCACCAATTGTTCCGGGTAATGGAGTTATCACTACAATACAGCTTAATACTTGATGAATCATTGCAGACACTTGTAGTCGAATTATAGCTTCCAAGAAAATAAATAAAATTAATACTAAAGCATATTTGTTTTATTATGTGATCATAATGATTGTATTTAATGTAGTAATATCTCCGTTGGCCGGAACCGTTCAAACCCGGAGCACTCCGATGGCCGGAACTGAAATTTTCTTGGAAAATAAATTTTGGCTTTGGGAACGATTTTCCGAGGAGCACATTTTCTAGAAAATTCTGAGAAATTTTTCCCGATTCCCGGAAAATTCCAGGGATGGGGAAGTTTTTCCGGGTTTCGGAGATGAAAAGCAGGCGCATTTTCTGAAAATTCCAAGAAAATTTTTCCATTCCCCTGAAATTTCCAGGGATGAGGGATATTTTCCGGGTTCGAGAGAGTCGTCTCGTTACCCGGAAATCTCTCATTCCTGGAAGTGCTCTGCACCAATTGTTCTGGTTAACGGGGATATCACTGTATTTGTTTTGAATTTCTAAACAGCATTGTATTCAGAGATATTAAAAGGAACTGTATATTTGTTTTTAAAATGAGTAAGACAAGTGATAAAACTAAGTTAGAGAGGGGAAAATGCAGGGGACCAACAATGGGGGGGTGGGGGCTACTCCATTGTGTAACTAGCATATTCCCTTAACCAGGCCCTGTGTATTTGTGTGGGTTCATTTATCTCAAATTTTCCATTTTGCCTCTCCCTGACTAGTCTTTTTATGGATTAAATATATTTAGCAAATCATATTTCACTACAGATTTTGGTGTTGGATGAAGCAGATAGGATGTTGGATGACAGCTTTGATGACCAGTTGAAGGAAATTATCAAGCAGTGTTCTGGTAAATGTCAGACTATGCTCTTCTCAGCCACAATGACATCCAAAGTGAAGGAGTTGGCAGTTGTCTCTCTCAAGAACCCTGTCAAGGTTAGTTTTAATGCTCTATGCTCTTTAAATACTGCTTCTTTTTTTATTTACTGTTTCAGTAACTCTATCTCCATTGAAATACTTTTCTCTTGTCTCTGTTTCAGGTCTTTGTAAATGAGAACACAGATGTTGCAAAAAATTTACGCCAGGAATTTATTCGCATTCGTAAAAAGTACGATGGTCACCGAGAAGCCATGTTGGCATATCTAGTATCTCGGTCCTTTAGTCAAAACTGCATTGTCTTCGTAGAAACAAAGGTAACAAACACCATATTAAGTATGTATACTGTATGTAATGTACAGATGCTCTTGGTAAAATTTTGGATCAATTTCATATCAATTTGTTATTGCTCATGGAAAATTTACATGTTTTCGGTATCCATGCTGGAGACTGGTTAGGTTTTTGTACCAGGTAATGGAAGATAATTACTGTACTGTACTGTAATGAAGAAATTGATCAGCCATTTTATAATTTAGGTTTTGGCTCATCGTCTGAACATTCTACTTGGGCTGATGGGAGTGAGATGTGATGAACTACACAGTAACCTTAAACAAACAGACCGTCTTATGGCACTCAAAAAGTTCAAAGATGAAGAGGCTGGTGTGCTGATTGCTACAGACGTTGCTGCCAGAGGCCTTGATATAAAGGGAGTCAAAACAGTAAGTTATATGTATTGCTTTATTAGAATTGCCTATTTTTCTAATGTTGTATAGTTACATAATTTTGTTATTAAAAAGAAATCAAAGTCAAGTACCTTTTATATATGAATACAGTAATATCTCTGCTAGCTAGATTCCCTCAAACCCGGAACTCTCCGATAGCCGGAATTGAAATTTCCTCGAAAAATCGTTCCCAAAGCTACTCATACTGAAGTCAAAGGAGAGCATTGTGGCTGATAAGGCTAAAGAAGCTGCTGCTGCTGACGACAACAACAAATTTGGTTTGGGTAGCAGATGTGGGATAATTGTAATACTGTAGACTATTACAGGGTCTTTAAAGTACTGTAATAGCAATACAGTTATATTGCAATTCTTTGGCTGTAATAGTAATAGAAAGCAAAAGTGATATCCCCATAAGCCGGAACAATTGGTGTATGACACTTCCGCGAATGAGAGATTTCTGGATAACGAGATGACTCTCAAGGCTGAGAAAAAATCCTGCATCCCCGGGTTTTTTTGGGTAACGAAAAAATTTTCTTGGAAGTTACAGAAATTGAGTAGATAGTCGGTAGCAGGCAGCTACCAAACAGGGAGGTACCACCGCCTGGGAGATATATGGAAGCATAATGTGTTGTCTAATGGTAGACCCTGCTGCCATATGGCATCACGAAAATTGTGACCAAGTCCCAGGTTCCTGATCTGACTTTCTGCCACATTTACACACAATTGCAGGGTCTCAATTGTTTCTCTTACTTTGAGAACACAACATACATATATTATTTCTCACTATTGATCTTTTTTTAAATTTTTGTATTTCTTTATGGTCCTTTTCCCATCTTCTTTGTGTCCGAGATGGCCCAAAATACACATTTTTACTGATAAAAATACTTATTTCCAATAAATAAATCATTTAGAATTGATCTTATTTGCATTACTTTTCATAAAGACTGTTCGGCGACACACATCCAGTCTGTCGCCAGACTGTCTGGTTGTCTTTGTGTTTGGTAGAGCAAGTAAGTCATATAAATAATTATCGGAATAATAATTTCACAAATAAATACGTTCATAACATTATCATACCATTATCGTCTCGTAATACTACACTACTTTTAGTAATATTACTTTGATACAACATGATAAAAAGGACAAACACTGGTAAATAAACAAACAAAAGAAGGTACTTACCAAGAAGCTTCCCTCCGACCGCGCATGGATAAGTGAGGTGGGTGGGTGGTTTGTTGCCACCCTGACCCTGGGTGTATGCCAGCACCCGTGGATAGAGACGAGTGAATGCATACAACTGTGTACCTTTTCCACAAATATGTCACTTTTTCCTTACAGGGGCACCGGTGGTAGAGCGATACCGCTCTTGCCTCGCAAGCGAGATGTCACGGGTTCGATTCCCGGGCCGGTGGAAAGTTGTTTGGACACACTTCCTAGCTCCCCTTGATCCCTGTTCAATCGAAAAGTTGCGAATTCGTATTCAGGGAAAGTTGTTGGAGCTTCCAATAACTTGCTGACAAAAACCTATGACTTCAGGCTTCTACGCCCTTGACAAAAAACCTATGACCCTTCAGGCTTCTATGCCCTTAACTCATGACACATAAAGGCAAGCATGAACTTAGCATGCTTCCCAGATGGGCGCTGTAAACGCTTCTGCGCTTCACCTTGCACAGGATGTAGGGGGGTGCCCAATAAACTAAAAAAAAAAAAAAAGTTGTTCCCTACAAATACACTTATACTACTATTTACACTACAGTATTTACAAGCACGTCCCACATTGTTTAAGAATGCTTTCTTGGAGTGGTACTCCACGAAGCAAGGTGGACAAAGACCAATGTCACACTCCTTGCACCACGTCGTCACGACCTTACGCTTAGCTGCGCACTTTGTGGTGTTAGCACAGACATAACACCGCCTTTACCCCTTACGACCACCTGGACCAGTTGGTAAGAAGTCCATGTTGTGACAAACAACTCAGTCACGTACAAGCAGTCTGTCAGGTAGGCCTGCTTGGCTGTGACGTCGTGGTACAGTTGTCACGATGGTGCCATATTTCTCCAGGATTTGCAATATCATTTGCTTTTGTAAAAAACCTGAGAGAGGGTTTTTTCCCGGTTTTTACTAGGTACAGTTGTATGCATTCAGGATGGTGATGTTTAAGAGGTGTAGGAACATCTTCTTGTACCACTTGAGACATTTCTTTACACACTCAATTGCGCCAACCTGCATGTCACTCTTGTCCACTAGGCGCATGTTGAGATTGTAGTCCATGACAGCGTCAGGTTTTTCATTACCTCCTGAGGTCCAGTCCCTTTTTCCACTGTCAACCATTTCACCCTTATGAACGGTTGATAGCTTCTGTACAGTACGCTTATCTTGCCAGCTTATTACAAGCATCTTGTCTGCCTCCTTCAGCTGGATCTCTACTCGGGCAGGTTTACCAGTAAACACGGGCCAGTGTTTCCGGTTCTTGCGTGTACAGATCCACAAGAACTGATGTCATGTTCAAGTAGGAACTTGGCCAGGGCAGGAGAGGTATAATAATTATCAGTGTAGAGGATGTGATTCCCTCCAAAGTAGCGGTCCATAAGTTTCTTGACACAGCGCCAGAGAAACCATGTGGGTTAACACCTTGGGTATGTCTACCTCACTTGCTGTGTAAACTATGAGATCTAAAACATACCCAGTATCGCAGTCACACAGCACAAAGAACTTGATCCCAAAGCAATGTCCTTTGGAGGGAATGTATTGTCTAAAAACAACACGTCCTCTGAAAAGCACCAGACCTGTCCACCACTACTTTATGAATGGGTCTCAAGAACTTCGTAAAGCGTTTCTTCGGCACCATAAAAACTTCCCTTGTTTTCCGAAGTCTGTCACCAGCCACAGGAATGTTGTTATCTACAAAGTGTAGATAAGGTAAGATGGAGGCAAACCGGTCTCTGGACAAATTTTGCAAACAATGGAGTGGCAGTGATATCATCAGGAGATATCCAGTGCTCCTGAAGTACATGTTTTTTCACATGTGCCATCAGCATCAGTAATGCAAAAAACACGTACAGTTCGGCAACACAACATCATTCCATCGACGCATGTGTGGCGAGGGGCCAGACCCGGGGTTAGCCTCACACGTGTACTGATAAAATTTGTTTGTCTCATTACACAGTAAGTCCATAATTTCACCATCAAAGAATGTACAAAAATAATTTCTATCCACGTGATTCCTCTGTACAAGGAAATTCAGGAGAAATTCCACCTGATGATCTTCTGAATTCAGGGATATCAGGCTGGAAATTACTGCCATCAGACCAAACAAAGGCATCCATTGTCCCTTGTCTGGGTCGTGAGCGCCTGGCAGGGATACGCACCTCTGGCTGGGCCTCGCTGCCTGCGTCCTCCTCTTCCTCACTGGTTGAGACAACTCTAACTCGATGCTATCCTCTTGGTCACTAGGCTGATAATCACTGCCTTCATCACCACTTTCACCAGAATTTTCCTCTACAGCACTCAAATAAAAAAGTTCTGTTCTTATTTCGCTATAATAATAATAATAATAATAATAATAATAATAATAATAATAATAATGATGATGATGATGATGATGATAATAAACGGTTTGTTAATAGAGTTGCAACCGGTGGCTGAAAATATACAAACTTACATTTAATTTAGGCATAATGATATGCGTTCAATACATTTACAGGGCTGTACAGTACATAAATCAGGAGTTGTTTATTATTTTAACAATAGATGGGATGATGCTATTCTTATATCTATCAGTGCGGGCTCTTATGGGTTGAATTTTGTTGTAGTGGCGGACTGCGCAAGGTGGGTGGGGGACTGCTAGTGGCAGGAGGTGGCGATGACAAGGATGGTGCAGTAGTCCACTGCCAAACCTTGCTAGTGCTTGGTGGTGGAGGTCACTGAGGGATGGCATTTCCAGTGCAGTGATCAACAAGGTCAAAAGCCTTCCTGAAGTCAACAAGGGCAACGGCCAGTGATGTCTTACGTTTCTGCAGGTTTTTGTGCAGAAAATCCAGGAAACTAACTAAGCAGTGTGATGGAGAGGAGGTCCTCATATTGCCAAATTGCTGTGGATCAATTGACTGATAAATTCTAGCATATGTCCACTCAAAAACAAAATCTTCACAAAGTAGACTGGGTATTGGGGTAATGGCAACTGGCCTGAGGTCGTTAGGGGACTGTGGGGTGGTGACCTTGGGGATAGAGGGTGACAAATGCAGTTTTCCATTCATTAGGGCATTTGCTTTGTCTGAGAGATGCATTAATAATAGAACAGGGGGGTGGCAAGTTCGACTGCAAACTTCTTGTAAATTTTGATTGGTAGGTCAATTGGGGTCGTGAAGCGTTTGGGTTTAAATTTCAGGAATTTGTTAGCGATTTCAAATGGTTGAACACTGGGAGGGGGGGAGTGGGGAGGGGGAAGGTAAGTAAGGCGGGAGGAGAGTGAGGTCAAGACTGGGTAGGGTATGATATATGGTAGCAAAGTGGTTATTAATTATCTCAGCTGCCTCCTCACTAGATAAATGTGAGATGAAAGGATGTGTGGGAGACTGACGCTTAAGACCACAGAAATCTTTTACCTTGGAGTACCACTGACCGATGCCGACCTCCTTGAGGCCGTGCACTTTCCTGGGATAATAAGACTTCTTGGCTGACTTGATTTCCCTGATGACCTGGTTACATAGACTTTTGTACAGGCAGTTGTTGGTGTAGTATGCCTTGTTGCGCTGCTCAATTAGTCTTTTGATACTTGGTGTAATCCACGGGACATCACCGGGGTGGATCCTCAGTGTCTTGGCTGGAAAGAAGTGGTGGTAGGCTTTGGTGATAGTATCCAGGTAATTATCCCACTTGTTCTGCACATCGTCTAACGTGATCACTTCAGTCCAGGGATACCGGGTCACCCATTGTCCAAAATGTGGCAGAGTCAGGGGTAGGTCGATAAGTCCTGGTGGCAACTGGCGGTCGTGAGA